ACAATTGACCAATCCGATCAACCAATTCTGACTGGTTCATTGAAAACCAGTTCGTTCAAAAGAATCCAACTATTTGACCGATTCTATAAATTTAAAAATAATAGTAGTTGATTTTATTTTTATTTTACGTTTTAAATTTTTATTAACCTCTAAAATTATATTTTTATTTTTTATCAACCAATATAATTATAATAATATTGAATAATTATTTTGTAAATATATTATTATTTAATTAAAAATATTTTAAATAAAGAAAACATAATAATATAAATTCAAATATATTTAAATTTATATATATCAAATATATTTAAACTTATATTTTTGTTATATTAAAAAATATAAATATTTATTAACTTATTTAAAAAATATATATATTATTGACCAGTCCATTCAACTAATTCTAATCGGTTTATTGGAAATCAATCCGTTTAAAGGAATCAAACCGTTTAGTTGACTGATTCTCGATTCAACAACAAGTTTGGTTGAACTTTCAAACCAATAGTAGTTAGTATTACTTTTATTTTTATTTTTATTTATGAATTTTATTAACCTCTAGAATTCTATATTTACAATAAAATTAAATAATTATTATTTTTTAAATATATCTATTGTTCAATAAAAATTAATTTTAAATATAGAAAACATTGTATAGTAATTATTATTTTTTTATCTCAAAATTAAATTTTTACTAACAAATATTGTTATATACTCACAGTCTAAAAATTACAACAAAAATTAATAATAAAACTATTTTTTCAATATTTGGGACTAAATTTCCAACAAAACTAATCTTATGGGACTATATTTGCAATTTTTTCAATATTTGGGACTAATGACAAACGGTGACTTAACGGTCAGTTAGATTTGGGACCAATTACGCAACAAAAATTAGTTAAGGACTGAAATCACGCATCTTGGGACTAAAATTGCGACCGTCCCAATCTAACGGGACCAAATTTGCAATTTCCTCATATATATATATATATGATGTGGTTCAAATGAGAACCAAGTCTTACTGTAGAACCGTGAGACCGCTATTTTTAATTGTGCGTAGTGCTATGATTGATTGTGTTTGGTGCTATTTTTAACTAAGATGAATTTTATTAAAAATAGCAACATAATTTATATTAGCATTTGTGAAAATGATAGCATCATTTAATATTAAAAATAGCATCATACATAATTAAAAATAGCATCAAATACGGTTCTCACAGTTCTCACACCAGGGCTAGTTTTTATTTGAACCAACCCCTATATATATATATATATAATAATTTAAAGACTATGACATATGACACTATTTACTTATTTATTCACATAAAAATGATAAAGCTACTGATACAAGGTAGATATGAATTAAATAGAATTTTTTTCATAAAACAACATGAGATAATATTTCAATATATTTATCTCATCTAAGTTTGGAAAATCTTTATTGTAATAAAAAAACATTATAAACTGATGTGATTAACTATACCAAACATCAAGAACGTGGCATTACACATTCCTTGTGAATCCTATTTGATAAGAACCCAGTAACTTATGCAACTCTTTTGAATTCTTGCTGTCACCAAAAAGATCACAATGTATGCAAAGTAAACCAAATTCAAAACATCGTGTCTTTAGTCTTCACATGCACATCACCCAAATAAAATACTAGTTTGTCTAAATAATTTTTATTACAAAACAAAATATGTATAACTGACAAGTGACAAACTATAAATATTTCCCACAATTTGAAGCCGCCACACATTTCCCACAAATATACAACCATCAAGATTTCAAAAGTGCATTAAAGTTTACGGTGTTATGCTAACAGTAGAAGATGCTCTATGAGACGATCCCCACTCTACTTCCAAGTACCTTATTACCATCGATCATGAAAATGCCACTTCAAAATACTGCAGTTCGAATGTTCTGGAGAATATGGAAAAGAACTCGAAAATTTATCGAATAGAAAGCAAATACTCTTGTAAGACATTACATATACCCAGAATTCACATAGACAAAGTGGTGAATATCTCCATGATGCAGTTTGAGGATCCTGTTAATATCTCTATTGAAGTGAAATAAATAATATTTTTGTGGATTAAATTTACAAAACAATCATGTTCCCAGATTATTATCATCATAGAAATAGATGAGAATATGAATTTTCAATTAGAACCAATTCTTGTAGTTGTTGCAACTAAAGTTATGATTGAGAGCATCACCGCTCATCCAAACAAGTACATCTAAAACAAAGAAGTTGCATATGAAGAATGAAAATCATATCAATGTTTCTAATCATATCTTGTTTTTAAAGATAGAACAGGATTGTCATATTTCTCCTTGAAAGCTGGAAACTAACGAGGTAAAGCAAAAAACCTCAAAGTCTTGTTACAAAAGAAACTGCAAGGGTAAACTTTTGAGGTGGTAATAAAATTAAGCATACTGAGCATTTCAAGTTTTTTTCTTTATTTGTTCAGTCTTTCTTTCTTTTCTTTGTTCTAGGGACCGTCTAACAAGTGTATGCCTAGAAGATAATATACCTGTGAAGGACTTCATATACGGACATTATATTCAGATAGGTCCCTCTAATCAAGACAATACTGAAGGCCCAGTAACTCTAATAGAGCTTCTGTTTGAGGGTTCCGAATTTGTCCTGCATGAAAACGAAAGGGTTAAACATCAGATCATATTAATCAGAAACAAGGTTTGTAACTCCAGATACGAAACAAAAGCTTTCTATAGTCCTTGTCATCTTTCAAAACCAGGAGTGAATGAATTAGATCATTTAGGACTATATTCAATCCACATTCATGAGGCTATGCAGAAAATTCAATATAAAATGCTGTCTAGGCTAACTCTATGTACAAATAACATAATAGTGGCTCTGTAAACCGGTTGATATCATAACAACCTCATAACCACTTACGCTCAAATCCTTATTATTCACATAAATTTTATACTCACGTTCGATTAATGCTGCTTCTAAATTTTTCAACACTCGTGCACGAACAATATTAACATTTCCTGATAAACAAGAAAAGAAAGCAAGCCCCGTCAAGCTTGTCAATACTCACCAGGAGGAAAATCGTTGGCCACAGGTTGAGAAGATTTGTGGCAGGGAGCAGTTCTAACAAATTCAAAAGGTTCGCTGCCTCGTGTTTGCAGCTTATTCTTCACAAACTGGAGGCACTCTTCCATATTGAGCTTAGCATCACTAGTTAACAAATGGAATAACCAGATACACATGAAATCATGGCAAAGGCATACAATAATATATATTATTACGATGTAAGAGGAAATTCGGCAGATACCTAAAATTTGGCCGTGCTGTTGTCCGAGGGAAGATTGGGTTAAATTTCTTAGTGATTGCAAGCCATTCTTCGTCATACTGGAGACTGTGAGGCCCTGCTTCTGATTCAATTTCGATAACCTACAATGTTCACGAGTTTACTAAGCAAATAATTGGTTCAAACAGTAACCATGAAAGTAGCATGCGTTAGATATTTAGAATGAGTAACTACCTGCAAAAATTCTCTTCCAGGGAGGCACTTATCAAGGGCAAGAAATTTCGTAACCGGGCCGTTTTCTCCATGTTGGACAAGAGCAGAAAATTTGCAATGTAAATGTGCAGAAAACCAATATGAAGGCCTCAATTTAGCCATAAGATCTCTTGCAGCAGGACNAGTAAGCACCTCAAAGGCACATGGCATGCTAAATTGGCATCACTAAATTTTATATTCCAGTATATTCATAAAATATCTGGACCGCCATAGTGTTTCATCAACATAGAGAAAATGCTTAGGGAACAGGAAAAGGGGAAAATACATGCTTGAGAATGCAAAATGACCAAAAGAACGCGAAAGAACTTCCAATGCTTGATTACTGCACCTTGAGCAGTAATCAATGCATGCATAAATTACTAAATGGTACCTCTTGTTTAAAAAAAGGTTTTCGGCGCACAAGATCTTGTGAATTCCCATAATCAGTAATACCAAGAGGCCAATCATGAGAAAGAAAAATATCTATTGGTTCCTGAACTTCCATAAGCTTTTGCACATCATACTCGCGAACATGATATATGGACCGGATGTGTTGGTCATTGTAAGGTAGCTGCTCATGATGTCCTATTCACAGTACAGGTTACTCAAGATGTCATGATGAGGCTCAAAGAAATAATAATTAAACAAAAATAGCAACAGAAGGAGAGAAAAAATGTTTTGAGAAGAATATTGATTAATTTATGAATGGAATTTTGTTGTTGAATTAAATTCACGAATCAATTTCATGTTGAGGATTTTACCTGTCAAAACAAAAATATTTTATTGATAAGGTTATACTCATTATGCAGTCATTTATGATTTAACTAGCTATTACATGCTTCTGAAGACCACCTTCTTCTCAGACAAAACTTTTACTAGAAATGTCATTCATTTATTCAAATAAAATTAGGGATTAATATACATTGGCAACCAATAGCAATCAACTCTCATGAGAATTAAATTCTCCGGATCACTTCTACTCTTCTTGTGCACAATAGCGTGCACAAGTGTTCTAGAAGAAAACCACACAAAAACAACAGTAACATGCTGGAAGCAAATTCCATAATCAGATCATTTTTCAAATATTACCTAAACTCCAATAATTTTTACAATAAAAATTAGTTGCAGTTTTTTGCAATTTATGAATACTAGTACAATACCCGTGTATTACACGGGTGTTGAATTAGAAAGTTTTTCTAAAAATACTAAATTTTTTAATTTTTTAAAAACTAAAATAATTTAATTTTATATAAAACATTACTTTGGGTTTTAATTAAATTGTCAAATTATATTTTTTTAATCATAATAATGAAACACCCGTACATTAAATGAAAATGTCAACCCGTGTTGAATTTTTTCACTTATATCATATAAAAATATCGATATTATTTACGATTACATAAGTACAAAAATATATATCTTAAATAAATAGAAAAAATATGGTGATATGTATATGCATGTGTAGAATATATTTATTTAATATTAAGCAAAATAGATTAATTTTTTTCTTAATTAGATGCCTAATACATCAAGTGTCGTATCAGTCGTGTTTCACAGTTTTTTAACTTTATATGTAATTTTAGAATTTAGATAAATAATTATTTATTTTTATTACATTGACAACATACTAATTAGATTTGAAATAAATATCATTTTTAAAAGAATACATACCAATTTCTATTACTTTATAGTATAATTTATAGTTTTATTTGATATAATTTAATTTAGTTTGATAAATAAATTAAAATTTTATTTATAAGGATATATATATATTACTTTTTTGTATTATATATATATATATATATATATATATAAATAGTAAAATAAAACGGACTTCATAATATCAATTCAAATGCAACACACTAATTAAGATTTTTTTTTTCTTGACAATATTAACCCTATTTAATGGATGTTATGAAAAACGATGGAGATGGGATATGAAGAGACATTGTGTATTAGATGGAAGGTTAAAAATGAAAAAATACGAACAAAATATTAAAACCACGTTTATTTTATCAATGATCAATTAAGCCAAAGTGACAAATAATAAAAATAGGAGGGAGTACATATTATTAATATATTTTAGTATAACATATGTTAATTGTGCGACTTATATGTGTTATATTATAATAAATTTTCTACCTTATAACATATAACTACATTAAACATAAATATATTAATTGATAAATAATTTTATTATTATTATAATTCACAGTTTTTTAACTTTATATGTAATTTTAGTATTTAGATAAATAATTATTTATTTTTATTACATTGACAACATACCAATTAGATTTGAAATAAATATCATTTTTAAAAGAATACATACCAATTTTTATTACTTTATAGTATAATTTATAGTTTTATTTGATATAATTTAATTTAATTTGATAAATAAAATAAAATTTTATTTATGAGGATATATATATTACTTTTTTGTATTATATATATATATATAGTAAAATAAAAACAGACTTCATAATATCAACTCAAATGCAAAACACTAAGTAAGATTTTTTTTTCTTAATAATATTAACCTATTTAATGGATGTTATGAGAAACGATGGAGATGAGATATGAAGAGACATTGTGTATTAGATGGAGGGTTAAAAAAATATGAACAAAATATTTAAAACCACATTTATTTTATCAATGATCAATTAAGCCAAAGTAACAAATAATAAAAATATGAGGGAATATACATTATTAATATATTTTAGTATGACACATGTTAATTCTGTCACTTATATGTGTTATATTATAATAAATTTTCTACCTTATAACATATAACTACATTAAACATAAATATATTAATTGATAAATAAATATATTATTATTATAAATATAATTATTTATTTTATATATACAATATGGATGTCAAATCGAACCTCATCAAAAGATGATTAATTTGATATATTATATATGTAAAACCGATAAGAAATACAAAAGTTGTCAACTTTTAAAATATTTTTGTAATTCAATGGTTATAATAGGAAATGATATTAAAATACAATTAATACAAATATTAATTTATATCCAAACCTAACTCCAAAGCATGATTTTTTGCCAAATAGGATTTTGAAGCATAAGAATTTGCCACGTAGGCTCAGCGCATTCTGAAATTATATATAGAGGGGATTTTAATTGGAAAGATTGAACAGAAATAAAGAAAGGGATAACGAAAGAAAGCTGGAATGCTAGTACTCTTTATGTGCTAGTACTCTTTATGCAGCACTGAAGGTGACCACCAACTAAGGAATCAGAACAATACCAGAATAATAGTGATTGGCTTTATAAATCCCAGACAGCCCACCAATACGAACATTTCCAAACTTAACAACGCCTGCAAATCCGAGAAAGAAAATTTGTGGCGCAACCCACCCACCATAGTATCTGCCACAACAAACAATATAACATGAAGAAGCAATCCTAATGTTTTCATTCTCTTATAAATAGCAGGAAATCATGTGTGCCCTAAATGTAATTAGTAAATTTATCAATTTAGACGTCTCCTACACCCTCTTTTTGAAATTAATGGGATAATAAATCTATCCACCTTTGCCATTTTAATCACAACAAATGCAAAAAATACATATATGTTGCCCAATTAGGGTCATGACTATATACAGGTTGGGGGTCCGGCCTTAATCCCCTACCCTTCCGTGGTGTGTATGTGCATATGTATTGACATGGTTTTCACATTTCAAATAACATGCTTTTGGAATAACTGCCCAACTTGTGACTTTCCTTTTATTCTATATAGAGACATACACACACACTATCCTTTATGGGACGGGGAATATAAGTTTTTCAATTCATTATTTTTTGTTGAAGAAAAATACATAAAAAAAAAAAAAAAAGNTAAAAAAAAAAAAAAAAGTGATGAGTTCAAAACATAAGATCACTATTTAATGGGAAAAGATTCCAAACTATCAAAATCTTTATTACTATTAAAAGAGCAGACTCACAACTCCCAAAGATAGTTGGATGCTTCGTGATTCCCACCAATGAATATCGTTGGAAATGGTGCAGATTTCTCCCCAGAGTAATACTTCCAAAAGGAATTCATAGTCCGATACTTGGACGGCACATTTAGGCTCTTCAAATCGTTCTCATTTCGAACTGCCTGATTGCACACAGATTAAGCAAGCAAATATACTCTAGGATTTTTTACAACAATACCAGAAAAAGATTATTGGCTAGATTTTTTCTACTGAAAAACATTCACAAAATTAAAGCTGGATTCCAAAATGAATTACATTGCTAATGGAAAACTGAATGCTGGTTAAAAGATATCAAGTCCAGTGATACCCATATTAATCCGATCCATCAAACAGCAACAAGGAAGTGCTAATTTTATTGCATGTGTTGACTATTACACATTCTGGAATCGGCTAAAAAATCTATCATGCAGATTTAGTTGAAATAGTATGTTTTGATAGAAATCTATGCATGATTATTATGCTTTCGTACTAACTATACTTCCTGATTGTGTCAGAAATCAGGGAATGTCGGTAGGACTCAAGTTTGGAGCTTCATACTTCTGAGAGAATGAAATTAACAAATACTTTGAACAATAAAATTATACGGTGCATTTTATAATCATCCATTATACTAATGTCCATTCACTAGACTTCTTCAATATTTGTCATCACGTGTCACTTGTCCACAGATTTCTTTCCTCACATCTTCTTTAATTCATTTAAGTATACATAAACCACAAATCGTGAATATGCCTAAGAAAACATATACAAATAACTCAAAGTAATCAAACAGGAGAACTGCAGAATAAGAATGTACCTGAAAGTCCCCACAGCAAATGAGAAGATCAATCTTGATTTTTTCAACTTCTTGCAGGTGTAATAGAGTAGCATATACATTATCCAAATCTCCATGCATGCACCCTTCTACAGCTATTTTCATCTAAAATTATATATTTTCACTTAGAAGCAAAATAAACAGGGCCTTTAAACTAATAGCAACAATTCAGTAGTGCCATTTACACAAGCTTCCAACATGGGATATTCAAAATTTTATGCATATCAATAACTAAAATATGCTAAAACTCCAATTCGTAACCCCATCAGAAAACTTTACAGAGCATTAAAACTGAATAAGGATCGAATTCACAGGGACACAGTCAATCTCATGTCGGGCACGCCCCACACACAGTGCAATCTCACTTTTGAGTCAAGTTCATCATAAAGCCTACTATCAAGTCTCGCCCAAATTAAGTTCTAGATAACCTATGCTCATCTTAATCACGGCAATAGCCAGTTTAGCTCGAAAAGCCTTTATTAGAAAACCTTTTTTCTGCTCCCAACAAATTACAGCTTTATGAAAGTGAGTAAATAACACACACGGTGATCGCCTCTTTTTTACTCCAAAGTCCAAACAGTTACATTTTTTAGCACATAAACCATTAAAAAAAAAAAATAGTGAGAGATACGGACAAAAAACCACTGCAGGATAGAGCTTCATGAAACACACCGATTAGGAGTTAAACAAAATTTGTGACTCGTGAAATTCAAATACCCTGTTACCTTAATCGGCGGTCGGCTGGGAACGGCGGCCGGAGATAGAGCGCACGGGAAGGGCGAGCGAGCTCAAGAGGGCTGAATTTGAATGAGCATTTAAGCAATTGACCTTTAAAGAAGTCGGTTTTAAACCAGACTATAAAATAATTGCTGTTGATATTTGGGCCCAAGAGATGTTTATTAATGACCCAAATAATTTTCAGTTCTCATACCCAATATTTTTTGGCTTCGCAGCCCACTTGATCTTTTGGCCATTTGTAATAGAGGAATTTACCCCATCCCATCATATTTCATTTATATTACATTTATACAACCCTTTAATTTTTTTTATGAAATAGCTAAACAAACACAATAATAGTACAAATATACCTAATATGATGTGTTAGCAAATAACCGTTCATGAGCATTTTTTTTGGGATAGATTAAGTGGTGTGATTTCATTAATTGATATTAAATATACACTTACCTAAAAAATCTGAACAAAATAAAATACTGAACAATCCCACCCCACCACCCACGTTCACATCTCGACGCAAAGAAACCTCCATCCTTTCCTCCAAATTCACGAACACTCTTCAATGGCGAAGACAAAACTTCATCGTCCTTATTGACAAAAACCGACAAATGGTGCCGACAAAACCAAATATTTGGTCGAGTTCCAGCCCCAAGCCAACCCAATCCCTCGAGCTGTTCTCACCATCCGCGCCACCACCACCTCCTCAGATCCTCGCGGACGAGAACATCCGCGACAAGGCCCGCCGCCATGCCTCGTCCCACGGCTTCTTCGCCAAGCACGTAGATGGTGGAGATAAGGATTCAGTTCCTTATGATTGAATCATTATGGATTGTGACGTAAATGAGGTTGACAAATTTATTTAGTGGCTTATGGTTTTTTGTTGATGAATTGGGTTGAGAAAACTAGAATAATTAGAGAAGTAGAAGAAGTGTACGCTGCTCGTGTGCCGATTATAGCGTTGACGGCTAGTGAAGAAGAGGAGATTGGTTTGGAGAAGATGGTTCGATTCTTTGCGGTTACTTTTTTGTTGGAACTTAGATATCAGATAAAGTTCTAACAAATTTTCGTTATATGTTTTGGTATATGTAGCGTGTATAGGCAGTATATGTCCGGTATATGTACATCTTTTATACACAATTATTTTTCTTTTTTTATTGTTGAATGAAAAATGAATGGTTTATTTTCAATATATTATTAATCATGTTCTCCTGTTGTCATGTTTTTTTTTTCTCATGAAATGAGAAGAAGTTCGACAGTATATAATAGTTAAAAATTTATAATCAGGGTTTATAGTAAGTATTTTTTCGGTATATTTTGCAGTTAAAAATTTATAGTCAGGTTTATANAACAAAATGCATGCGGTAATTAAGGGTGGAGGATTCTTTTTGTATGGTTATTTACTTGAGGTATATCTCTAATAAAATCCTACATTTTAGGTATAGATACAATTAAAATTGTTCCACTTGTAAACATGTAATATTTTGTAATTCTTATAGGAAGCGTGAAAATTTCCCTTTGTATTAAGTGTTTTGATCCAACCCGTACATTGTCCTCTATAATTTGGAAAGGGATTGAAAATCTTTCCCTCTCTCTCGACAGTTGATCCATCCTTTTATCTATTATTCGAATCTTTTGTAATAATGGGTGCTTGTGGTGACACCTCCTTCATGTATTCAGTCGAGTCATTCGCGAGAGATGTTTGGGGGTTTTGTGTATTGGCGGTTTCAGATCGAGCTTTATATGTCGACTGATAGTGTTACCAGTAGGCTGTTGTAATAACTGAGTGTAAATGATTGACCCACTTGAATATTCTTTTACTTCCCAACATGCATTTGTTCTAATTGCGTGAAGATTCCTCTGCTAATGGTCAACTGTCAAATTGCACCATTATTGTCCAAGTGCATCAGTTATTATTACAATTATTGGTGATTTGCTTAATTTGTTCTGTTGAGACGCGTGAAGAGTTCTGCCCACTTGCTCAAAACTCATCTATAAATATGGGACTTCACACAAGAGAGAAAGTGGAGTAGAAGAAAGGATACGGAAGAACAATTAGAAAGAAGATAAAAGTAAAGATAGAGAAAGAATTGGTGAGGGAAAAAATAGAGAGAAAAGCAGATATAAAAATTATTTGTTATCAAATTAGCAAAAAGAAAGATAATTTTATTCCTATTTTAAGTGCTCAATTCTCGACTTCATTCTAGTTCGCTGGAGCTCGTAATCTGGTGTGCTACAGATTTCGAGACGATCGCCGTTGTATTTTTGGGGACGTTACGCCTGAACCGTTAGCACTACACAGAGCATATTCGTCTTGCGGAAAGAGTTTACTCGGCTAAAATTTTTCCGTTTATTGTAATTTTTTATTTTTAGATCATTTGTAAGAACTGAAAAATATATATCAGTTTGTAGGATTTTCATGTATTTTCGACACCCTATTTTCTAACATAGGCTTGCAGAGCCAGGGTTATTATGACTACGTGTCCATCATTTTTCGGTTATTTGATGATTCGTTTGAAGGTTTGAAGAATGGGAGTTGAGCCTGGTCGTATTCGACCCATTCTCGTGACTCTTGGGCTCCCATATTCGAACTTAGTGAAAGGTGTATTGTCTTCAATTAATATTCATATCTTTTCAACTATTTCCATTTATACATGTTGTTTGTCGTTGAATTTTGATCATCTTTTTTTGGCTATATTTTAGGTTTTATAGCTTGAAGCAGAGAGATTGAGACTTGTTCAGGAGCAACAGGATGCTGTTCGAAATTGAACGAAGGTTGACCAAATGAGCACTTAACTCCAACTCGGGTTGCTCATGGACGTCCAACTTATCAGTGATAGAGCATTTGTGGTTAGCACGAGTGTTTGTCCTATTTTTGTTACTTTTTTTCTTTATTTGTTTGTTCATTCTTTCCCCTATTTTAAGGACACGTATTTCAAGAACAAGTATCGTTAGTTCACATTCTGTTTTCTCAAGAACTTATTCCAATGCAATGCATTTCTGAGAAAAAAGGGCAGAACGAACAATAAAACTCAGAACTAGCAAAACACCCTTGCTTGCAAACATGGTTATAAACAAAAGTGGTTGAGTGAAAAAAAAAACGGGCACAATTTTNCAAAAAAAAAAAAAAATGTCATTGTGTTTCATTCCTCATTCGGATCCCAAGCCGACCCATCCGAAAACAGGTCGAGAGCATCACGCTTCCCATTCACATAAAAATCGATCACGGCCTTCATCCTCGCAATCTTATCCAAATGGTAGTTCAAATGAACCACAACCGGCACAATTTTCCTCAAACCATAATCCTTCCTAACCACCTTAAAAAGAACTTTACTGTTCATAAACAGGTACAAATCCATAGTCCTCCTCGACACATGAAGCCCGTTATAACCCGGGCTCGAAGGATAAAACATCTCCTCATTAAAAACCGCCTGATCCCACGCCTCCTCTTCCCTGTCTAGACGGCCCGCCACCCGATCAAGAAGCTCGATCGACGGCAAAGTGGGCCTTATGTAAAAAAAGCCCGAATTATAAACCCATATCCTCATCGTGTGCGCGTAGCGGGCCCAGCCCATTTTGGGCTCGTCAAAAACATCGTCATATCCGTAAGCTGTTAAGCTGTCGTGCCCGTCTGACATGGCCTCCACGTCACAGTCCCTGTACAGGTGGCGGCCGAACGGGTTTTGCAGGAATACAATGTCGATATCCGAGAGAAGAACACTGTACCCCATTTGGAGAAACTCCCTCAAGACTCGGAATTTAAGGCCCGAGACTTTGTGGCTCGACGATGAGTTGATTATTTTGAGAGTCGGGTTCGGTTGGTAAGCCGGGACTCCGTTCGAGATGCAGAAATCGAGGGTTTCAGAATCTAATGCTGCGACTAGGTAATTAGAGATGTTGGATTTTTTTATGCTCGTGAACCAGAGTTCTAAAGCGGGCTTCACGGTTGAACTGGCGAGGGCGAGTATGAGCTCTCGGTTGATGGCTACTTTGGATAGGATTTCGGCGAGTCTTGGATTTACTGTCTCGTCGGGGATTATGGGCGGGCTTGTTTTCGGGCCTTTAACCGTGCCGAAAGGCCCAGGCTTTTGCGGTTTGTAGTTAGATGGCGTGTTTGTGTTCGATTCTTGTTCGGTTAGACGTAGCTTTTGGCTCAGGTCTCTGATTTGGGTTTTCAGCTCTGTGATTTTGCTCGATAACTTTATGTTTTTCGACTTTAGCGCCTCTGTTGATTCGAGCAAAGAATCGGCCTAAATGTTTATCAATCCACGAATGATTAAAGTGAAAATGTTGAAAAAAATTGATCAAATTTTACTGGCATAAACATTAATCACTAATCCCACCAAAATTAAATCATGTCTTCTACATTGAAGAAAAGCTCAGAGATTACAGAACAATGATATGTACAGCAATTTTCAAAGATAAGGGCAAAAACCATCAGTTTCCTCCAAATACACAAATACAGAACGAACTTACACAATCGGAAATTCATGAACAATTTAAATAAATTTTGGCACCTTCAGGTTAGGGTTGGAAAGGGGGCGATTTCCTGTGAGCGGATTCACGGAGAAGAAGAACCACCCATGGTGGAATAAGAGGAAGAAGACGAAGCCCGCCGCCACTCCTAGCCCAGTCGCCGCCGCCGCCGCCGCCGGTGATCGGAAAACCGACGACGATGATTGGCCCCTGCTCTTCTCCTTCCAAGGCCAAGCCATATTCCGGACTAATAAATCGAATCAGAGAATCAATTTTTATGTTCTTTTATGAAAAAATGTGCGAAATTGAAGAGGGGTCAGCCTCAATCCCGGCATTATTTTCTGAATTCTACCGTTGTTCATAACTCACAAGTAGTTGGGAATTTGCTCCTCGTTTGGTTGATGTGAATTTATTATTACTAACGGATTGTGATACATATTTGATATATAATGCATCGAGATTTTGAAGTTGCAGAAAGGGAAATCTCTTAATAATATGCGTGTGCATGTGTATGTTCTTTCATCTCCTGATTTGCTTTTCGTTGACCATTGAAGGCAAATCTGCAAAAATGGTGTTTTTATATTTGGCACGAAAATCACATGTGTCCTCACA